ATATTTTTTTCTGTTATTTTCTCTACCCTAACACTATGCAAGTTTGGTCAATTTGAATGCCCTTGTAACCCCCCCCCCCCCAAAAAAAAAATCTATAAATCTAAATTACCCTCCTTTTCTTTCTAGAATAACTTCATATGTAATGTGAAACTAGATTCATTTATCTGAAGTAGCTTTAAACACGTAACAGTATATGGCTACTTGTACTTAAATTTTATTGTTTTATTGCCCTCTAAACTGTGTCTAACTACTATTTGTGCCATTAAAAGTTGTGAATCACTTGGGGAATGTGCAGCTCATGTTATGCTATTGAATTATATTGCCCATGAGCTACTTGGAGCTAGCTGCTGGTGTGTGTGCTTGATGAAACATTTTTATTATATTATTATTATTATTGTTTATTTTACCTAATCTAACCTAAAGAAATATCTATTTTTACATTTTAGTTACTTTTATAACACTAAATAAAGAATAAACTTAAAAAAAAAACAAGAAATAAAGTACTTACCCGAGTATTCTGTTCAGAAGTGAAATTGACTATTCTGTGTTCAGAACACAATGTTATAAAATAAATCATTTGACAATTGAAAACCTTGACTTTCTATTGGTTATAATTAACATAAGAGAAAATTATTAACAAATCTTGAAAGAGGGGATGTGACAGGTGGGTGTGGCTGGGGGAGTCTGATTTTCTATTTGATAGCTCTGTAACCAAAAAAAATTGAAGGCTATACAAATTATGGTTTGTTTGAGCAATGACGTTTTCATAGTGAGTAATTTACATTTAATTTCATAGTTTCTTGTGGGTGGGGGTGGATAAACTAGAGATGAGAAGATACCTAAAGAAAATGTGTCACGTGTGTTACACTAGTGGAAATTCAGGAATTTTTAAAATGTTGATTTATAAAATTAAGAACTTAAAACTTATATACTATTAAAATATGGATTATTAGCTAAGGTTTTATGTTATACTAATTGGTATAACATTGGTATAACTAATTGGTATGTAGTTTAATAAAATGTTGAATGTAAGACACTAAAACCTTGTCATGCTCAGTAACGGATAGCCTGGGCAAGAGGGTTAATTAAAGGACAATTTCACTATTCTGTTAAGGTAATAATATTCACTGCTAATATCTAAGTGTGAGATATATATATACATATTGCTTCATATAAAATAAAACCACCTTTATTTTCACTTAATGTTTGACATGTGTATCACATAATCTACATAAACACTAATAAATAAAACCATGACTTTTATAGTGGTCTTTAGTTTAGCACTCCACATAGGGATTCTGGGGTTTAGCCCCCCATTGGCACAGCTGTAAGTCTGTGGACTTATAATGCTAGGAACTGGGTTTCGATATACGTGGTAGGCACAGCACAGATAGCCCATTCTCTAGCTTTGTGCATAACTATAAACAAATAGATAAATAAACTCTGGAGTTCATTAAACTATTAAGGTGTTGGTTTACTTGACTCTTTATCTTTTATGCTAAATTAAAAAACCAGTTGGTAATATTGTTACTTTCATCAAAGAAAAATAGTGTATTAATAACTGCACTGTTCTTTGAAGGAGACCACAGTTGTCTTGGTTTCTAGTAATTAAACTATTTGAGAAGGATTGTCATTTATTTATTTGTTTCTGTATCACTGGTTTCAACTTAGTTTTCACTTGTTTAGAAAATCTCATCTTTAAACTCCACTTCATTCTCTTCATCTATTTTTAGTTTTGGGGTCTTATTAAATCACTTTGGATCTCCTTTCTGTATAGATCCTACTTAATTGTTGCTCTAAATTTAGTTTAAGCAAATACTAAAAACTTAATGAAGGTGCTTTAGGTTGGAGTTTTACTTGTAATTAACTTTATCATCAGTAAGTATTTTAATTCTAGCTTAAAGTTTTTGAATCTTTAAATTTTTTGTTATATGGTAATAATCTGTCATATTGTATAAATAGAATATGTTTACAGAATATGAAATATGTATACTATACAACCTTACAATGTGTATGTAACTTTTTTTTACAGGGAGAATACACATTGACATGGACCAAGCTTGATGGATTGCTACCTGATAAAGCTACAGAAGCTAGTGGTGTCCTTACTATTCCTAATGTTCGTCCTGAGGACAGTGGCACCTACATATGTACTGGCTCAGACTCTTATAGTCAAGCAGAAGACAGGGCATCTCTGATTGTAGAGAGTAATTATGCTATTATTCTGGCTTCAGAATGAACATTTCTGGTTTTAAGATATCAACAAGCATTTATTATTATTCATTAAACATTTAAACATTGCTGTGGGAAAATATAAGAATAACAAAGAGTACTTCAGTAGCAAAATGTAGCCAAAGTATAAAAATACATTATAATATTTGGAGTAATTTAATTTTTATTAGTTATTAAAATTGGTGTTTTGTAGAGATTTAATTACAACAGGAAAAATATGTTAAAGTTGTATGTCAAGTTTCAGATAAATTCATGATCATTTGGATCTAATGCACATTGATAAAAATATAACTGAATATTTGACGTTTGTGAGGTGTCCATTCATGACTCTTTTTTTGTGTGTGTGTGCAGAGGAAGATTGAATGGTATTCTCACAAAAATCTTAAGTTATAAAGACTTGTTGATAACTGGGTTAATTATAGGCTTTGTTTTCAATAGATCGATCCTATTTTTCTGTTTAAGATGATGTAAGATGTATGTGTTATTAAACATATATTAAGAATGCAACTATCTCTTTTTGAGATGAGTTTGTGGTATGTGTGATTAAAAGAGGAATACATTGCCAAAATAATTACACAATAAATAATTTATTAAAAACAGGACCAACCCTAAACAGACCCTATATATTTTGATGTTCTTATGCCACCATTTTCAGAAGATGGTGGCATAAAAACACAAATTATTTAGTGTGCAATTATTTTAATGGCATACTCCTTTTAATTGTATGTGAGTATTTTATTTATATATATATGTATATATATATATATATATACACGTGTGTGTATGAGACAAAATTAAATTATAGATGCTGCACTACCCTCCCCCCCCCCCCCAGTGGCACAGCGGTATGTCTGCAGACTTACAACGCTAGGATCTGGGTTTCAGATAGCCCATTGTTGTTGCTTTGTGCTTAACTTCAAACAAACAAACATAGATGCTGCATAAATTAAAAGGATCCCCGGGGGTACAGACTATAATGTGAGATATAAAGAGTTATTGTGTGGTGCTGTAAATGTTACTTTGGGTGATGTCATGTTAATGTATTCATTTGTCTGGTTGTTTTTCTATTGAGATATGAGATTATTTTTTAAAATTAATACAAAGTGTTGAGTTTTAATGTATCCCTTTTTTTTTCCTATTCTCATTCATTTATCTGAGCTTTATGTTTGAGAAATGTTTAATGAAGACATTAAGGTGATGGGAAATATGTTTACGTATCTGTCCTTTGACATTTTCACTGCTCCCATAATGAAAGTATGGGACGAGGTTGTTAAATATAACTACAAACATGACGAAGATAAAATAGGTATTAAAGTTTTTCTGTGAGTACTCAGTATGTTGTTTAGTGTTACTTTACCAAATGACTCATCTGTATGATACTAACAATCAATCATTCACTTTCTGATCTGGTATTAAACTTTAATTAGGTTCTACATATCAGAATAAATGGTTTAGTCAATAGTTACAAAAGTCACGGATTGAAAATATTTCGCATAATGTACTTAAAAGAAGTTTGTTTCAAAAACTAGCCTCTACAGCAAAGTCTTGGAAGAATTGTTTTAAATTATTGTAATAAAGTTAATTTATCATGAAGCTTTATATGTGCTAAATATGTAATTTTTAATCTGATTTTTAGATATATTAATAAAGTAATAGCTAATATTTTTCCAGGAGGAGAAGAATCTGTTCGGCCAAAGGTGAGGATTGAACCACGGTACTTACAGGTAACTGCAGGAGAAGAAGTAGAATTCCACTGCATTGGTGAAGGGTTTCCAAAACCTGAATTAACTTGGTCTGGTGGTCGAAATGACCAGTTAAACCCAGCATCAACGTTTAGAAATGGTATATTTCGAATTCCTTCTGCAAGAAAGAGTGATGAGGCAGAATATTATTGTACAGCTACTAATGTTGTTGGTACTGAGACAGTACGTACTGTACTTTTTGTTGAAGGAGGTATGTAATTGAAAACTGATGTACAACATTATATAAAACTCTAAATGCTTAGAGAATATTAATTTTTTTCACGGTATTTAAGTACTTGGAAGTTTTATTCTGTATGCAGTTGGAACCGATATAAATTTTGTGCACGTAACCTTCTACAACTGGTAAATCATTATGAAAAATATTAATGCCATATACCACATGAAGATATACTTAACATTTAAAAGGTATAACACTATTTGGTGTAACGACTAAAATAGTTACCATTTTAAAGCTAGGTTAGAATATATATATCTGTATTCAGATGCATTCAAGTCAATTTGTCTTTATTTTTATGAAGGTGTTCAGCATGTAATACATTTTTGTTAACTAAACATCAAAAGGTTGTAAACTTACACTAAACCTTATTATTAGGTAAAGCTTTCAACCCTTAACACTATATGGTCCCCTGTGTCTGACTTTCCTGGGAAGGGGCATACCAATCTCAATGTGTGGCTTAGATATTTGTACAAATTGAAAGGAGATAGAAGTTTTACTCCCCTATAGATATCACTTGGAATAGTTTCTGATATATACAATATTAGATTTTCATATCCCACACTTTCAATGTTTTCTTCTGAATTTTGTTGGTAAACTAGAATTCTTCTTTTTATTCTCAACTCCAACAACCAACTTAGTCAGCCTGTGAATGGCCAGTTTCATAAATAGACCTGTTACACCATAATTGTGAATAAATATTTTTTGTTCACATGTGTAACTAGTGTTTGTGTATTTCCTTCATTTTTGACTTATTATCTGTGTAATATTTTTAAAATCTGCTATTTTCTGTTACTTTTAGACTTATCCTTCAGATATCAATGGACATTGGATGCAAAATTTAATTATTTTATTGTTTATGAATACTAGTTAGGTATTGTAGTCAGTGTAAAATTGAGATCATATTGATAAAATTCAGTCTACATTTGATTCTTCTAAAAGACACAGTTACTGGTGAGAAGCCACATCTTACAATAAGTCCATCCAGTGTAGAAGCTGCTCCAGGAGAAACGGTTCAGTTTGACTGTCGTGTCACAGGATATCCAACATCTGACATCCAGTGGACTTTCTCTGGAGGAGAGCTTCCAGCATCAAGCAGCCAGGTAAACATTATTGTTCTCTTTTTTTTTTTTTTAAATAGAATGTATAAAATTAACATTCTAAAAAGTGCCAAGATTGGAGGTGCTTAAACCCGGGTTTACTATAAGTGACACGTTAACTGCTACTGATTGTTCAGCATCTATGATAAGTAGAGTATAAAACTACAAGCAATTCACTTACACAAATTTGTCATAGAATACATATTTTAATAAATTGCTTCTTGGTTATATGATAATCGGTATTGTTATGACACTTTGAGGATAATGATTGAGGGTTCAGCAATACATGTAAATGCTGATGTTTAGTTAGGAGCATAGAAAGTTTGGATTGTCTTTTGAGAACCTTTAGATTTTGTTTCGATTTTTTGCTTTTCCTTAACTGAAGCTAACCTGAACAACACAAATTTTACTATACATAATGGAATATTATTGTGTATATAAACATTTCCTTTTGTACCCTTGCAAACACCTGTAAAATTTTAGTGATCCTTACCTTGTCGTGACACTTTCATATAAAATAATTGGATTATTTACATTCAATAAATTCTTTTGAGTAAATGTATAATACATAAATTTTTGAAGTACTGTGTTATAAATCATAGACTTTCACTTATAGTTAAAGAAAATTTCCCTTATGTAAATAATAAATACTTTAAACAATGAAAAATTACTAATACTTGGTTGTGTCCTTAGCTACATGTAACATTTAATAAGTGTGAATATACCAAGCATAAAGTTCAGGATATTGAATGTTATAGGTTGGTGGAACCCTAAGCTACATGTAACATTTAATAAGTGTGAATGTGCCAAGCATAAAGTTCAGGATATTGAATTTTATTGGTTAGTGGAACCCTAAGCTACATGTAACATTTAATAAGTGTGAATGTGCCAAGCATAAAGTTCAGGATATTGAATTTTATAGGTTGGTGGAACCCTAAGCTACATGTAACATTTAATAAGTGTGAATATACCAAGCATAAAGTTCAGGATATTGAATGTTATAGGTTGGTGGAACCCTAAGACTTACAAGAATTGATAGTTCACAGCAGGGAATCTACATCTGTACAGCCAGTAACAGCTATGGAACTGCTCAAGCACAAGTTCGGCTTCATATCGCTTCTGGTATGTTTCTAGAAGTTGATTTTATCAAATGTTAGGTTTCAAGTCATATCTGATGGTTGTTCATATCACAAGTCAAGGATCATATTGTTTCTGGTATGTTTGGTAAAGGTGATCACATTACAAGTTTGGCTTATAAAACATTTTTAGTGCATTTCTTAAAGCTGATCTTGTAACGAGTCAGGCTTCACATCATTTCTTGAAACTGATCATATGAGTACTTTTTTTTTATCCATTAGAACATGCTATTCTTAAATATTTAAACATTCACATTTGTCATCTTGTGTGTTTTAAAAACATAAGTACCTATTTAAAAGTTGTTAGATATTTTATGAAACCAGGAATATATGTTGGTGTTATAAACAAAATAAATCTTGAATTAGATCAGCTTGTGTTTGCTAGTTTTAAACTTCAATAATTGATGCAATCATATTAGTCACCAACTTTATAGAAGAATCATTATTAAAAATGTTCTTGAGAATGGTGAAAAGTTGTGACAAACTAAAAACTTCAAACTGTCAGTTCATCTAGTGTGTTACTTGTTTTCTGTCAATTTTGTTCTTGGATTTTGATTTTATTTTGGTAATTTTTATTGTTATTGGTTCTTCTGCCTTAAAATATAAAGATGCAAATGCAACTGAAACACAATTACTTTTATCAAAGGTATTTGTTTTTAATTTTCATGTAGTATTGAAACTTGTGAACCTAAGTTATTAAAACATTGTATGAAAATCTCATGTTTCCATCCTAGAAAGCTTTCTTTTGTAATATCAGTGTTCTGATATTTATACTTTAGGAAGCTTTCTTTTGTAATAGGCTACAGAGGTCTGATGTTTACACTTTAGTAAGCTTTCTTTTGTAATAGGCTACAGAGGTCTGATGTTTACACTTTAGTAAGCTTTCTTTTGTAATAGGCTACAGAGGTCTGATGTTTACACTTTAGTAAGCTTTCTTTTGTAATAGGCTACAGAGGTCTGATGTTTACACTTTAGTAAGCTTTCTTTTGTAATAGGCTACAGAGGTCTGATGTTTGCACTTTAGTAAGCTTTCTTTTGTAATAGGCTACAGTGTTTTGATATTTCCACTCTAGTAAGCTTTCTATTGTAATAGGCTACGGTATTCTGTTATTTCCACTTTAGAAAGCTTTCTTTTGTAATAGGCTACAGAGGTCTGATGTTTCCACTTTAGAAAGCTTTCTTTTGTAATAGGCTACAGAGGTCTGATGTTTCCACTTTAAAAAACTTTTTACTGTAATCATTAGTCCCCTAATAATGATTTTCATTTCTAAACGTTTATTAATCATCTTATTGTTATTGTTAAATCAAATATAAATATGATGATAATTTAAATTTTTAAATCAGAGATAATTTAGTATATAATGGAGATTTTAACTTTTTTAACATCGTTATATAAAATGCATTAGTCTGGCTAGTATTAATTGTTTGTACACCATAATCTCTAGGACATAAACAACCCACAGTTCAGATTGAACCGGAAAGGCAAACTGTTCCTGAAGGAGATTTAGCTCAACTTAGATGTATAGCTACTGGTGTTCCAGCCCCAATAGTAACATGGTCAAGAGTTGGTACTGAACTCTCTCCTAGACATCGGGTAACGTGGCTGATGTTCCTTTTAATAATCATAATATAAAATTGTTGTACGGAAAAACAATAACAAGTTACAGATAACTTCTATATGTATAATAAATAAACTTTGTATTCTGAAAATTGTTTAATCTCAAAGTCTAAAGTTCAATCTACACTTTGTGCTGCTATATAATGTGGATAACTGAATAGTGGCCGATGACACTTTTTCTTCACTTCACCTACCCAGTGTATAGGTTTTTCTCATAGTGATTACAAAGCACATTCACGCCAGCAGTATATTTAACTTCTATGTGTTTTTAACATGCCTTGTAGGTAAAAAATAAAGTAACATAAAAAGCAAATAGTTAAAATAATTATAGCATTGGGAAAAGATGTGGCATTACTTTTTTCTTTCCATGTTGGTAAATATATCTGCTTTGCAATCGTGATTGTATATGGTCAGATTAAAATGTTGAAATATGGTTTATTAGCTGTAATAATCATCATAAAATTTCTCACTTTCAAACTAAGGTTTTCAACTCTAAACAACCCTAGATACTAAAGTAATCATCATAAAGCAGTTATGTTTATGCTAAACAAAACGTCAACACATAATTTATATAAACAATTAGATTTTGGAATTATTTCATTAAAAGTTTACTGCCTGTCCAAGCATAAAATATGTCTCCTTACATCATTGCTGTCCGTAGACACGTCACATTATGTTAGAATCAAAAATCAAAATACAGAAACAAATTCCAGTAAAAAAAAAAAAAGGCTTTTCTAACTTTTGAAGTTATTGATGCCTCAGTTTACATGCCAACTTCAACATTTTTTTTTGTGCTGAAGTTAAGATTTTTATTTTTAAGTGGCAGTCTGTTTTGGTGTTTGTGCTATAAAGAAGTTAACTTGCTGTATCAGTGATGTATATGCTATATTGTTTTAGGATTTTTAAGTTTGTTAGAAGGTGCTTAATATTTGTAGTCTTTTTACTATTGTTCAGTTAACTTTGTGTATTAGTATACTTTATGTAAAAATATCACAAGCCTTTTGATTAAAAGCATTATATAACCATAATATAATATAAGCATTTGTTGTTGTTTTCTTTTAGTTCTGTGGTCTTCATTCACGTTCTTATTATTATTAAAGTGTTCTTAATTTTTAGGTTGATGGCAACACTCTTACTATAACTGAAGTAACTGTTTCTGACCGAGGACTCTATGTATGCCGTGGAGAAAATCAGGATGGAACAGCTCAAGCTTCAGCTATTGTTGAAGTTGAACGTAAGTGGTATACAGTCTTAATTTTATTTCTTTTAAGTTTCTTTTCAGTGTGATTGTTAACTCCTGAACTATTTTTCTGCCGTTAACATAAAGAACATAATGTAGCATTCAAATATTGAATATTATTACTTAACCAGATGCAGTCAATGGTTATATAATCTTGTAAAATGTGAATATTGGCCACTTTTTAACATTGTCCCTCCATAGGTATAATCAGCATGTAATAAGAAAAACACTGTCATGTGAGGTAGTTAGTGAAAAACCATAATAAATGAAACAGATTGTAAGAAGTTTTGATATTGGAGAAAGTAATTTCAACATATTTATGTGTCCTCTTCACATGTTGAAATTAGGCAGACTTTTGATTAACCCATTTACTGCAGCTGCCACATATATGGGTCAGACTTTTTTCTTATGTATACTGTGGCTGTGCCGTGTATGGGATTTCATTTTTAAATTTACTGCATAAACTGATAAGGGGTACTTATGAGTGTTGATATACTGTCTATCCACTCAAGCATTGTTACTGAACAATAGGTCAATCATTTTTGGTCTTTTCTCATCAGTAGTCTTCATGATGTCAACGAAATCCCATATATGGCAAAGCCTCACTGTAAAGAAGAAAAAAGTCTGACTCGTATGTGTGACATTAAATGGATTAAGGAACATTTGGCTGTTCTTCTTTTTATGTTTCATGTAAAATTCTTGTCGGTTTCCAATCAATTTGATGGTAAGAATATTTCATATGAAGAAATATGGCATTGTTCATGTTCCAATATTTAATGTCTTTTTTTTGTGCTACAACACTAACATTGACCTCCTAGAGAAAATATTAAAGAAGAATAACTTTATATACAAATAACCAAACACCATTAAAGATATTCTAGCTCCAAATAGCACAACATCTGAAGTTAGAAACAACAACAAAAAACAAGGCACTTACATTATACCATGCTGATCCTGTAAGAAGTGTTATGGAGTTGAAATTGGAAGAAGTTATGATTCATTTTATGACCATGTTCTCACAGTGACAATTTGTTTAATTTGACATGTTTGTGTCATGCCAAGTTCTACTTAGCCCTTATGGTTGGATCAAACTATATCTAGGTTGGTGAAATGCATCATGCAATTCACTAATGATACAAAATGCTGAATCATAAACTGAATGATGCCTAAGCAACCAATGAACACACAAAATGACCTCAGTAAGCAAACATTTTATGTAATAAATAACAAAATAGTTGCAAATCTTGCACTTTCTGTCAGTACCCACCCCTTGAAGTATGTATTTCCTATTTAAAAAGGATGGTTACTATATGTTTCCTTGACAGGAAGGGAAGTACCTGCAGTTGAACTGTATCCTGATACAGTGAGGGTTGTTGTTCCTGGTGCCAGTGCATTGTTTCAGTGCCGGGTGACAGCTGGGATACCTTCTCCTACAGTTGAATGGACTCGACAAGATGGAAGATATTTTTCAAGTAATACAGAAATCCTGGAAGGTGGAGTCTTGAGGTATTGCAGAAGTCTTTATCTATGAATTTATTTAGTAGATACTAATTATGTGATTTTTGTTGTTGTTGTGGGGGGAGACTTTTGCATTTTTAAAAGTTGTCTACTTTTAGCTTCTCATTACTTGGTATACATATAATTGCTTCAATTGTTATAATGTACTAGAGCAGAATAAATTTTCTTTCTTTAAATTCTTAATTTCATAACATTTCCAAAGGTTCAATCGAGTAACCAGTGAAGAGGAAGGCACTTATGTTTGTACAGTAGAAAATATAGCAGGAAAAGTTAAAGCTGAAGCTAAGTTGCAGATTCAAGGTAGGTCCAGGTGATATAATTCAGTTTAATTTTACTATAAAGATTATCCAGTGTTTATGTTGGCATCCATCACCCAGAGTTCGATGGCTTGATTACTACTGTAATTTTTTGTATAGTGCTGGAAACTGTCCTCATGGTGTATAAGAGGCTATCTTGTTTTAATATTTTTGCCCAAAAAAGGGGGCATGATAAAAAAAAAAAATCTTAGTTAGATACAGTTCAAAGGGCAATAAAACAATAAAATTTAATTATAAATAGATGTATATTGTTACAAGCTTAAAGCTACTTAGTACTACTAAAGTGGAAACTAATGTAGTTTCATGTTACAATTTAAAGTCATTCCTAAAAGAAAAAAAAAAGGTAATTTAGATTTATTTAGATTTTTTATTTTGGTGGTTACGAGGTCGGTCAAATTGATTGATCCTATATAGAGATAGGTTAGAGAAAATAACAGATAAAATATAAAGTTTTACTGAAATAAAAACGTTTGAAATGTATTTAAGTGGTTTTAGGGACTACACAAAGGATATTTGAGACGAGGAAAAGTATTTTTAATCTTAACATGAAAATTACTTGGCACACAGACTGTTCAAAACAAATATTATATTCATGTACAGATCTTTATTTTAGTTATTAAAAGTACTTCACTAAAAAATTATTTTTTGCCTGTGAAAGATTGCCAAATTTTGTGAAGATATACACAATATACTGAAAGTTGGAACTATTAAATCTATAAATACTTTAAACGATTACAAAGAGGTAATGTGGTTGGTCAAATTGACCAAGTCCGTGTTGATAGAGTTAATGCTTTTAACAACCATTCTGGTGGTTAATGTGTATATCAGAGCAATATATTTTTCTTTGATATCCTAAGAAGTTTCATGCCTCACCATTTTGTAGAACTTAAGTGTAGGTTTTGTGAAAAAAAAGCATTGTTTACTGTGTGAAAATAATCATTTATTACATGTTTTTATGAATAAAAAAGCACTGGACTCTACAGATGGTTGTTTTGTAATCTTAAGATTTTCCAAAAAATATTTGAAGTATAAGGTAACAAGTTATGTTATAATATTATAATTTTTTTTATTTCAGGAACTCCAACTGTTAAAATATTACAGAATAACCCTTTCAGAGTACGGCCAGGAGAAACAATTCGATTTGAGTGTCAAGCATTGGGTGACCCTTTACCATCTGTGACATGGAGAAAACCTAGAGAAGATGAACATCTTTATCATGTAGAAACGAGAGATGGGTTTGCAGTACTTGAGATCCAGCGTGTGACAACTGCTGACAGTGGTACATATAGCTGTTTAGCTTCTAGTCCTTCAGGAGACTCTGAGGAACGAATTCAATTACTTGGTAAGTTTTACTCTGTAAAATATGAACTCATTTTTGAATCACAGTGATTTATTAGTATTGTTATTAATTATTAATGAATTGTAACAATCACTAATTACACTTTTATTCATTCTAAGCACTAATTTAATGAATTTTTGTACGTATGTTTGACTTGTTTTGAATATATTTTATTTTCAAACAAGTGTATTGTGTTTATTTATTGTTGACATTTATTGCCAACAAGTCACAAACACCTACTGTAAATAATCCAACCCCTATACATAAACCTGACAGTAAAAGTGCCCATGTATCCAATCCTCAACCTCCTTCAAAACCTTTTGAGAAATAATAATTGCCCAAGAAATTTATCATTGTTTAAATTTCCCTTTTTTTATTATAGATCTCATAATTAATGTGATCATCTTGTTCAGTCATGTTGCCATTTAGCAACACCATCATAAAATAGTTTGAATATTTACTTTTATATGGTACAGAGATAGCTTACTATTATTTTAACCTGGCATTATTGGTGTTGATACAGTACAGAGATAGCTTACTCTTATTTTAACCTGGTATTATTGGTGTTGATACAGTACAGAAATAGCTTACTCCTATTTTAACCTGGTATTATGGGTTTTGATACAGTACAGAGATAGCTTACTCTTATTTTAACCTGGTATTATTGGTGTTGATACAGTACAGAGATAGCTTACTCCTATTTTAACCTGGTATTATGGGTGTTGATACAGTACAGAGATAGCTTACTCCTATTTTAACCTGGTATTATGGGTGTTGATATTAGTACAGAGATAGCTTACTCTTATTTTAACCTGGTATTATTGGTGTTGATATGAGTACAAAGATAGCTTACTCTTATTTTAACCTGGTATTATTGGTGTTGATATGAGTACAGAGATAGCTTACTCTTATTTTAACCTGGTATTATGGGTGTTGATATGAGTACAGAGATAGCTTACTCTTATTTTAACCTGGTATTATTGGTGTTGATATGAGTACAGAGATAGCTTACTCTTATTTTAACCTGGTATTATGGGTGTTGATATTAGTATAGAGATAGCTTACTCTTATTTTAACCTGGTATTATGGGTATTGATATGAGTACTGAGATAGCTTACTCTTATTTTAACCTGGTGTTATTTTAGTTAGTGATATGATAGAGAAAATATAAACATTTACCTTAACAAACTTATTCTATTCATTTAGAAGGTTCTAGGAGTTATGCAATTGAAATTTGAAAATTATATGATGGAAAAAAAAATATTTTTATACTTTGCATGAAAATCTCCTTGCATTCAAATAATTCAGAGCCCGAGTGCAAATAACTACAATAAATAAATAACAAATTTTGTTGGAAATACTTGAAAAAATAATCTCATTCTTGGTATATAAAATATTTATAATCTTTAACAAACTCCTTCCAATTTTTATAAAGATAATTTAAAAAAGCTCAGAGTTCTCATAAATATTGTTGAACTGTGCATCATTCTCTATATAAGGTATGCTCAATGGGTACTGCACCGTCTCCATAGAGTTAAACTGTAGATAATGAATCACTTGAAGTGTTTTATGTTGAGTCATTGTTGCCAGATGTTTCCCCAAATCCTGCTTTTCTAAGATCGTGGGCAGAAATTAACAATTATCTTTCACCCTTGTATTCTCTGAAATTGGACTAAAAAACATGACAGTCATTTTCCTTGTCGGTAACACAATCGTCAGATCTTAATGTGTGGGATGAACCTGATTGACACATTTGTCATTGTAATCTTCTGCTGATGTCTGTAAACCAGTTGGAGCACATATTTCTCAACAGATGGTCTACAATATTGGCCAATTCATCATCCTAACTTCTTATGGATTTTTTACCTGGCTGCTGTTATTATGATAAAAGGTGGTCCAAGCTAAAACCAAGTGGGCAGTTCTAATAGTGATCAGTCAGTGAGATTACTTCATTAAATCCTCCTTTGCTAGTCAGTTTTTAGTCTAAAATTTTCTCTCCATATATTTTTTAAATGTTTATTTGAAATTTAACATTGTTTTATTATATATATATATATATATATATA